ACGTCTAAATCTGAAGCAATGTAATAGACTGATAGAGTACAATCAGTACGAACTATAAAATAGATATACGTTTAAAGTATACAAAATGTTAAAGTGGTACATTCTACCTATACTCTATTTATGAATAATAAAGGTAATAATGGTAGTTAATTTGGTTATTTCAGAAATTACAGAATTGATTTTAAAAACTTTACTCTTTGATATGTAATATGTACTTTTCTTTAGGACATAGGTCATATCATAATAAAATAAAACTATAAATATATGGGTGAGCAAAATCGCGGGTGAATATTGATACAAAAATTAAAAAAGCTTATTGTGTTGCAAACAACGATAATAATTTCAATTTTATGCCTTTTCCAGTATTTCGCTAGGCATGTGAGTTACCAGTACTGAGATTTCGGACTGAAAACTCATTTTTATAAAAATAAAATATAGCCTATACTACTTCCGAATATTATAGCTTTCTATTGGTAGAAGAACGTTTAGAATAGGTTCAGTAATTCCAATTGTTTGGAGACACAAACAACATTTACCTCATTGTATAATAGTGTAGACAGTAATAAAAATAAACTTTTGCATTTGACGTGAAAATTCCCTCACATAAAGTTGCATTCAAATTTCGAAACAAATGTAATTGTTCCTAAAAAATACGTACTTTTTAGATTGTGTGACTCATGAACCAGATATACGATAGCAACAAATCTTTTTAATCGTGCCAAACTTCATATCTCATGTCAGTTCTTGCAAGAATTCCATTTATTCAGCACGAAAACAGGTGTAGAATGTGCTTAAATCTCTACATAAATGTTTAATTGAAAATTCAATGTTAAGAACCTATTTCTTTGGGATCTCTAACTTCTTGGCCTGCATCTTTTAAGATTTCGGTCTGTACGCCAACTATATCTAGTACCTTTACTATTTTTCAAGTTTTTAATATTAAGTCAAAATCTGTCTTCATTATATGGTTATTTCTCCTAACTCTTGAAATATTCTTTCTATTCCAACCTTTTATTTGATGACAATTTTGAAACTCGCGCTGACCAATGTAACTTCAAACAAAAATAATTACTTTTGATATAGACACATGTATTTCAATTTTCAATTATGATTTGACAAAACGTTTTCTTGAATCACATACACTTAGCTATACACTTTTTCTTTGAATTTCTTGAAAGTTCTTACAGCTACTAATAATGGTCATTGTTGGAAATAACAATAAATATTTTTTTATTTTTTATACATAAACTGATTCAACGAATACAGTTATTGAAAGCGATGAGGTGACCCTGTTGAACTAGTTTATACCAGTTTCAAATGTTAAAAAACGTAATTATGCGAATAGCATTTCTGAAAATTTTTCACAAATGAATTTAACAATTTACATTTGCAACATCTGATGATATAATCACTCGTGTATCATAAAAATATTCTTATAAGAATAATTTTATTTTTAGAAATATCAANGTCTTTAAAGATAACAGTAATGTAATATAATATAATCAAATATACAAAGTATGCACTTCTGTATTCCTATATAATGATTTTCTGTTAATATGATAGATAAAAACAGTGAACAATACTAGAACATACTGCCTCTCGTAAATAATTACCTTCCAGAACTATAATTTTACTTAAAAATTTCATAATATCCAGACTGTGGCAGCATTTCTGCAACAGCTTATTATTTAGAAATATTTTCGCTAGAGACATCAACGTTAGGTCAAGCGCGAAACTTTTATATTACAATATCAAAATAACAGAACTAGTTGAACATATTTCACAAGTAGTTGTTGAATTGAATCGACAACAGAGTATACTTTTGTATGTAAGTACCAAATTATTGGTTCTAACATTCTTCGACCTTACCTTGACGTAAAAAATCCAGCTAACTAGACAATGTCAATGCTATGTTGCATACATACGTGTATCAGTTAACTTAACCATATTATTAATTGTAAAGGAACCTAATACAAGGTGCGGCACAAAATTAAATATTTTGCATGTAAGTATAACGGTTAATATTTATACAGAAAAATGGTCAAATTTGATATTACAACTGAACTAAGCTTTAATGGGAATTTTTCGCCAAAATGATCGGGAAATAAGACATGATGTAAAACTAACTTTTTTAGTACATATTTTTAATCTATTTCAAAAATGGAGGAGAATCAAAATTATCGTTGTGTCAAGTCAAAAAACAACAATTTTCATTAGTTAATTAATAAATTAAATCAAATGACAGATGCCTTCTTAATTTGCAACTGGAAGCAATGACATCAAAATTGTGTTTTTATGTTGCTATTTTAATTTTATTACCTCTGTTAATTATGTTACTGAAGTCGATTCTTTTTCACTAATTAAAAATGTTTTTTTATTGAACTCACGATGCGAAAAAGCAATAGGGACATAAAAAAAAAGGATAAATAGCACAGTGTAGAATCGATTTTAATAAAAAGAAATCACTTCTATGTTAGCAAACGGTTAATATAGAAAGTTAAAGACATATTTATTAGAAGTCGAAACAGGAGCAAAGGGGGGTTGAAAAAGATGTTTTATTTTTATGTTACAATTTACTTTTGGAAAATATTTCTGACAGGTTATTTATTAACTTGCCTTTGTTTCACCACTTCAAACTCTTATTTGTGTTGATACATGAAAAATTCTTTATTAAAAAACTAAGACGTACAATTAAAAAAATGAAGATTTGTTCAATTACTGTCATTTACATTCTCGATGTATTTATGAAAAATTATTAATATGATTCCCACCTACTTTTTGTTCGTCAGAAGTTATAAGCTTGAAAAAGGTCACCAAAGCAATAATTATTCTGAAAAAACGGTCTCTTGGGAATAACAAACGTACTACATTACTAATTAAGTAAAGGTCTACAGCAAACAACCCACCGACGGACCATGCATTTGTACTTGAGAGCTGCTACCCTTGACTTCGCCGCACTGATGGCTGTATTTTTTATGTTTCAGTGCTAAATTACTAGTTTTAATTAAGGAACTTGTACGACGTTCGTCAAAAGAGAAACACTTCGTTGGCATTTTAGTTAGCGTTCTTTTTCCTTTTAATATTCATTTCATGATATTTAAATAATTATTCATGAGAATTTAGGCATAAAAGCGATTGCCTTTTTCGCAAGAATTCTTTCCTGATTATTAATCTCATGGCTTTTGATTTATGGCAAAAAATATGCGAAATACAGAAGACAATCGACTGTGTGAACATCCCAAAACGTAACCTTCGTATAATGTGAACAAACTAAATCGCCGCCTGGAGAAACGAATATCCAATAGCCAATCAGTATGATAATGAATTTGAAGATAATATTATTGAAAAGTTATTAGACGGGGTGGCAAAAATCCTCAACAGTGGAATATAGTTTCAATAATTAAACAGAGCTGTTGATAGTTATTGTCAATTTACATCTACATATTATATAAAAATTGTTATTCTATTAACTACTCTTCCCTTATTTTTCTAATCGGTTTGAAATTAAAGCCACAATGGTATTGTTATTTATTTATTTAAAAATAACACTTTTAACTTAAAAAACTGCCCTTGATAAAGTCCAACAACTTCCGCGAAACGTTGGCTGTTGTTTTTAAATAAATACCCCCTAGTAGTTTTGATTTCAAACCGAATAGTACCTACTATGGTTATATTTTTAGACCTGCTTTCGTTGATAACATCGGTGTCATTCTACAGTAACACAATAATTGCGTTTATATCAGTTTCAAAATGTGTTGCAACTGAAACAAAATTAAGCCTGAACACGTGCATTATTAGCGACTGCACCAACGACAAAATGCAATCGACTACAAAAGTGAGAGAAGAGGACATAACATTTAGCAAATAAAAGAATAGAACAACACGAAATTAACTTTCTAATACGGTATAACACAGACTATTGCAATATATTTATGTTTAAAAATTCTCGAATCTCGATAATCTTTACTAGTTACGTAAGGGGTCAAGAAGAAATCTCTCCAAAATATCGAAATGTCACTAAATATGCCCAAAAGTATTAGTGAATTAATTTTACCGACTATAGATAACCTCAAAATAATGAAGAAAAATTGTTGCTGCTGTTCCTTCCTTGCCGGGAATCGAACCCGGACGTCAGACTTTACGCACAAGTATTCTACCACTAAGCTACAAGGTCAAAACTTAATTCATTAATGCATCGAACTAATGCTACAAAAATTCAAACTATCTCATGCCCAAAAGTTTTACAACAGTCAATATTAAAGATAATCAAGATGTTTTCCGAAAAGAATATTAATCCAGTTAAATTTAACTGTTACTACAGT